TATGTGTGTGTGTGTGTTTGTGTGTGTATGTATGTATGTGTGTGTGGTGTGGGCGGGGGTGCCGGTTTGTGTGTGTTTTTGAATTGGAATTTTGATTCCGTCCAGATAGTCAAAAGCATACGCGTGCATATCCATTCACTATTACGCATAAATGTACATTCAGTGTTTGTCTTCTATTTACCAGGCGCACACTTCAATACCTGCAACTATCACTTGAAGCAAACATACATAGACATACAATGCGGTTATACTATCGCAAATAAAGTGATAGTAAATTAGGCACCAAGTTATTATAGCCACTTAGACATAGGAACACTGCTTACCATATTGTGTGTGTGTGTGTTGGTTACTCGCGTACTCGAGTGGGAGCTGCTTCCAGTGGTCCTTTGGCAGTCGGCTGTACTGATAGGCTGTGTTGAGTCTCTGAGTGTCTACTTATCACCTACACATACAACCTATGTATCTCCATCAACCTACGAAGGTGTTGTAAGCTGTTTACTATACTGCGATCCAACTATTTATATCGTGTGTAAATACATGTATAAACAACCTGTATTTACGCGTTCCTACGGGTATCGCACAGAATACATAAATGCATTCCATTTCGTTCCTTTTCCGCGAACATTTTTTGTTTTTGTTGTGGTTAGTTACGTGTAATAAACTACTGATGTTGCAAATTAAGTGACTCATACATTGTCTACCTTCATATAGGTGGACGTATCCGCCATTTGGTACATTGTATTTATTCTCATCAATGTTCTAAACTCGATAAAAATTTCTTCATACCGCCCACTGGCCAGTTTACGAGGCCCTTCTATATGTCAATTTTCAGGACAAATACGGCCCTATACAAACCTATGGACAAACGAGTTGGACATGACGAGGCCTGTATTATGTCATCAAATATTACGTCGTGGATACAAGTTCAAGTGGATACAAGTTCAAGCATGTATGACATCACTATTCAAACACAAAACCCAAAACCCTAAACAATTACACATATCTTACTTTCAGTCTGACTCATCAGGTCACTATTGGCAATGAAGTAACATCCAATAGACGATCAATATATTAAAATATCCATCAATCATATCATTAGAATATTACGAGCTAGAATCTTTCATATTAGGCGCTTATATAGGTCATAGGATGTCAATCATGCCACAGATTGAGAATCAATGATCATTATTCTCTACTCTGTATGTAGTAGTTTGACGATCATCATGATGGTAATTGCCTCTAAACGGTTTCTCGACAGTCGACACCTATCAACACGGTGCTGCATAGAACATCAACTATATGTGAACCCAGACTCCTACGTCGAGTCTCTCATATCCTTTAGAGGTCGTTATAGAACATTGATAAACTATGCTTCGGAAAATAGTACTGGCAAGCTGCTTGGCCATCTTAGCGTCGGCTATACACGATGGTAATGCAATTTGGTCATATTATGTTTGCTGGTGTGCACAAATACCTGTTGCAGTCATATATTCTTCATATCTCGATGGTTTTAATGTTATTCAAATTAGTCTAACTACATATTAACTATATATTTTATTCGGATGGCCTATTAACTATATATATTTATATATATATTTGTATAGTATGAATGATATGCGGACTTGTATGATTGCGGGATAAATTTGCGTACATCATTTTCACAATCAGTGTTATTTCAGCGGCTACCGGACAAGAGTTTGATGTACTGCTATCGCCAAAATGGATGGATCTACTTTCCAGACTCAGTTCTATGTCAATAACAGTTATTTGTGTACAGTTTTTCAACGCCAATTTAGGTTGACAGAAGGTTTTCATGTTATAAGTCACAACAGCAATATATATATATATATATATATATATANATATATATATATATATATATA